CAGCCTGTTCTCCTTGTTGTAGTGATTCACGCGTTGGGGATAGTCAGTGAAAGATGCTAGACATCGGAATCTTGGGAACGACGGGAAGTTTACTTATGCTCTTGTAATTGGAGCACTTTGTACGAAGGCTCTTTTTGAAAATGGGGACGACTATCGCCTCACTCCAGGATGATGGAACCTCCTCTTTTGCCCAGACTTCTGAGAACAAAGCGGTGAGTTCTTGTACCAGCGAATAGCCCCATCATTAAATAGAGCAGGAGGTAGAGTATCAGGGCCGAGTGCCTTATAACACTTTAGGCAGCAGAATTCCCACTAGATTTTCCGGTGAGAGGGAGGAGTATTGGGAATAGTCCAGTCAGCACCGGGGAAACATATGGAGCTGGCGGCCAGGAAAACTGCGAGCGAAAACGTTCAGCCCATCGCTACAACCGTCCCTGAAGGTTAGTGATTACGGAGCCATCCTCATCGCATTGTTTCGATAACTCTAGATCAGAAGCCTTCGGTGATTCAGATGATGTGAAACAGTTGTCCGATATTACCAGAGAGATTAGCAAGTTCCATCACACTAGCACATTCACGACACCAGGTCTCACGGTCTTCTGTAAGCTCATACGCAATACTCGATCCAGGGGTCGGCGTTACCCACTACAGCTGTCGGCCGGGTTCAAGTGGCGTCTATCAGCGACGAGGAGGCAGTGGTGTTCTAGCTTTTCGGTGGGTGACAAGCAACTGCACAACTGAGAGTGCTGACAGGAATTAAGGTGTTTTTGCTGCGCATCCATTGCGAATTCGAACCATCGTTAGGCAAATCAGAATGGAACGAAAATTAACAACCAGATGAAAGAAGCCGAATGCAGGAACGTCACATACTTCGTGGCTGCGCCATGTCTGACAGGGTCTCTGAATAGTGGTGTAGACCGTCACGAAGTTCCTACCCAGGAAGACGTCAGTACCAGCCTGACCAAGTCTCTCAGTCAATTTGTTCAAGCTTCTATGCCACGTCCTGAACTGGCCACCCTACGGTTTCACCCAAGTTAGTGCAGTCTAGGCGTATAACGCACGCCGAAGAAGCTGGTCAACTGGTGTACGGAGGACAAGGCCTAAACAAGATCACCGACTAACATTTAGTAAAATCTCGAGTGAGGAACCAGAAGGCTTCTAGCCAAACACTTGCAGACCTCAGCATTACTCACCTGGGTTCACACCAGACGTAAGCAATACTCCGCAAGCACCAGTGGCCAAACACGGACAAGCGTTTGTCTTCGCTACGAACTGGCAAGGTCTCTGATCCATAAAGTAAGACCGGTCTTACCGCAGCGTTATACACTCTACCTTTCGTTTACAAGCTGATATCCCGCTGTTCCCATAGATTGTTGAGCCTCTGGAAAGCCACACGGCTTTGCTGATGCATGAAGTAACCTCTTCAGTGATGTGACCACCAGATGTGATAAAGCTACCAATGTAAGTGAACCGATCCACCAATTCCAGTGGCTGTTCGGTGACAGCTAGAACCAGAGGTATGCCGACCCCGTCCTGCAACAGTACTTTGCACTTTGAAGGTGTAAAGCACATGCCGAAGAGTGCAACGCAACGCACAAGTTTATCCAGTAGTTCTTGCGTATTCAGTGCGTCAGACGCAAGAAGAGCTATGTCGTCCACATACTCCAGGTTTGGCAGTCGATCGCCTGGCAGAACTTCCACTCCCATAGTCTGAAAAAACGGAATCACTCATGAGCAGTATGATAAAAAAAGATGAAGAGGAAAGGAGATAGAAACAACGCTGGTGGACTACACGCCGTGGGGAACCCAGGAGACAAATTCCAGTAGACCCTTACACGGGCTCGGGAGTCACGATAGATACTGGATAATGGAAAGGAATCCCGCCGGTACGACCTTCATGGATAAGCAGTACCACAAGCTAGCGCGACCAACAGAGTAGAAGGCAGCTTTTAAGTCAAGGAAAACCACCGTAGTCGGTCGTCTGTATGTAAATATGTGGTCTGTACCACCACGACCAGGGCGGAAGCCAGCCTGGTTTTCAGTGGTTCGATTCTCACAGGCACCAGTAAGTCGTCGGAGAATGATACCCGTGAGAAGCTTGGAGGTAAGGGAAACAGGTTTAATGCCTCGATGACTTTCGTACAACGCAAGCTGACCCTTCTTAAAGATGGGCATGACAGTTGACAGTCGCCAGTTTGAAAGCACCTCTTCAGTGTTCCAAACCGAGTTAAGTAGGGGAGAGAGTTCAGTCAACAAAGGTTCACCAACGTCCTTCAGCAAAAATGGAGAGAAGCCGTCGGGTCCAGGATCTTTGTTTCGTTTCAACAAGGAAAGCTCATGGCGAATATCTTCCAAAGTGGGAGGTGTGTTAACTACTTTCCATGTCGGCTCAGGCGATTCGGCAAGCGGCAATGTCACAGCAGGCCCGCTGTTCCGTCAAACAGGTTAGCCGACGAAGTTGAGAATGGACTAACCGTCCATTTTTCTTAACTATTGTTTCGCTAACTGATGACTTGCTCGGGCCCGTATTCCGGATGAGCTAGAATAGCATTCGGCTGTTCCCAAGAGTATGGGCTTTCTCCATCTCACGGGCCCTTGCCATACACCAACATTCCCGATCGGTTCGAAGACTCCTTGTCAGTCGTCGCTCCAGGGAGATAGGGACGCGTTGAAACTCAGTGCCCATCGGAACCTGTTTCCGTGCTTAAATCAATCTGATCGATGCCTCACAGATCCATTCGCAGTTACCACGTTTCAAGCCGGGAGCACAGCAAGCGTCATGGGCATTTTTCATGGCACGTTTGAGACGATCCCAATCAGCATTCGGTTCACCAACCTCATTCATCACTGACAATTGGTGGGGCAGCCCGTTAGGATGTTGCTAAACGGCAAATTGCGATTTAAAGTTAGAGGTAAGAGGGTTCGAAGATAGGCGCTTCTTTGAAGCGGGAAGTGAGCGCCAAGCATACGCACACTAGAGTATGGTCAGAATCCAGGCACGTGCTCTAAAGTGATCGACAGTCGGACTAATGTGCGCCATCTGTAGCCGATACCAACATCGTCAATTTGAGTCCAAATCACTGAGAAAGTCGGTAGGCGTCAGATGACGCGGTGGGTTCGTTCTGAAAAGTAGTACCGCTAAGGTAAAGGTCGTAGGTCGGAGTACAGTTGAGCCCGTGGAATAGTAGATGAGGTCAAGAATTGTATAGCAAAAGCACGAGGCGTTTTTGCGAAGCTCCGCCACCTGTGTCGCCGGCGCGACATCGCTCTCGCTCTGAAAGGCAGTGTTAAAAATGCAGCCATCCGGTTAACCTTCCAATAAGGTTGCAAAAACTTGGCTCCTCAAGTCGACAGACTTAAAGAGGCTAATAATGTTCGACCATCGCTGCCTTCACAGCTTGGCTCATTTTTAGTGGGAACACGGCGGGAACACGGTTCATCGCATCCTCGTGGTGTACTCAGCCCGCATGCGACTGGTGGTGGTCGCACGACGACGAGGTGCCGTTACGGCGTACAGCTGACACATTACTTATCTAAGGTGTCATCAATGTTAGCATAACGGCTTCTACAAAATAGAACGTCTAAATCATGGATTACTAGAAAGCTTGATGCAAATAATGCTACGTGGGTGAGCAGAGTGTCAGGCTACTATTCCTCCACTCGCACTAAGTAGTGAACACACGACAATCACCAATTCACACCCCACTCTTCGAAAGCAGGAAAGAATTTGGATGGTTGATAATTTCATGGGGAAATAATCTACCGAATTCCTGAATAAGCAAGGTAGAAAACAGATGTGAAACCGACACCAACTTTCGTGTCATGGTGTGGCGTAACTCGATTAAGAAGAGACAAAGTGAGCATGATATAATAGGGCCCCTGGTGGTCAACAAAACAATGCTGAAATGAAGGGCAGTGTGAAAAGCCTGCGTAAGCTAGTTTTTGAGTAGAACAGGTTCAAAAATACTTCAAAAAGTTGAAAATGATTACTCAAATAACAAAAACAAGGTAGTACTGAGAGCAGGCATAAGCGTGACAGCATGATTTCAAAGCGACAACCTTAAGATGCCCTAAAGCTAACGTAACTTCTGAGAGTTCACGAGTATGGTGCCCAACTACATGATTGGTTGAAAACCACAGCACCTACCCTGCTGGACCCATCGGTCACTCGAGTGAGCGATGGCGGAGCAATTTCGGTTACTCGCTATTTATGGCGGCAGAGAGCAGCAGTACATGTACTGTCCCTCTTCCCACTCCAAGAGATCGGGGAAATGATTGCAATGAACAAGTAACTTCAGAAGCCCGATGTCATGGGTAGAATGGCAACCCAACATTTGTCTGGATATATGTGTTAGGTTGCCTATCTGGCGCAGATAAGCGGTAACGATGTCTCAGAATGTGTCCAAAACATTATGTCGACTTGCCTCACCAATAGCCACGTTGAGAAGCTCAATTGGGGGAGCATACATGACAAGTTCGGTGTCGCCTGGACGCCTTTTGTTCAAGCAATCATTGGTAGGCTGCATAAATTACTACCTTAATTGCAGCTGCCATATTGCGTGCGGGATTCGCTGGATTCACCGAAGCCATCATCATGCAGAAAGTGCGTCGATGGATACAGAAAAGAGCGCACTGATGGCACGCAATAGCCGCTACATTTTTTGGTACCAACAAGAAGAAGTTATCCTCTAAAATTGTGCTTTTGGCTACTATAAGTGCGTTAAATCGCTTGTCCTGGCGTTATCAAGCGCGATAAGATAAAGGGAGTGATGCTACCGAAATTGTTTCTGAGTGACCGAAACGTGACCGAAATTTGTTTAACCGGGAGCTTTTCGGAAGCGCTTCGGTCACTCGTGCCAGCAGGGTAGCAAGACACTGGCCTTTACAGTATCCAACAAAATGCAGCGTTGACTCACCAAAAAGCATCGGCGCCCGTTAACGTGTGTATGCATGTTAAGTTTGAGCGACAAAAGAGTGGTGCGGTGTGGGTTTCTGCTTACCGGATATGACTAGTTGCTCGTTTTCCTCTGGATCCCACTTCTGATTCTTTCTTCTGGCGCCTTCGAGAATAACATAATCGAAGTTTTTGGGGTCAGTCTGGATGACGATGGTTCCAGCACATATGCTGCAGGGCATGGTAAATTTGTATATGGGAGTGGAATGATACATCCCAACTTTGGATTTCTCCGCATTGTATCGTACACCCATTCCAATCGGATTCTTACAGGTAAGACACCAGCAATTGAATGGCATCTCAAACCGAATTGTAAGGACTCCTTGGTCAGCTTTCTTTCCACGATCACGAAGAGCGTGCGTTCCATGGTATGCATTCAAGTTTCTATGGATCTTCGGATCGAAATCCGGTGGATAGTATTTATTCGTCCCTTTACGTTCACCCTAATACGAAAAAAGGGATTTATCCCGCAAATCAACGAAACGAAAACGGCACAAAACGACAATGAAAGTAACACCTTACCATGCCGAAGCTATATTGGTAGACAATGTCTAGGTCACGACCCTAAAAAATAGGTAGGATATGTTCAGAAAAATTCCATCTCAGTGCGGTAAAAGCGAGAAACTCGCGGTAAATTTTGTTTACTAACAAGCAATACCACAACGTAAAATTGATATTATCTTTGTTATTCTTAAATATCTAAAAATAAACTATGTTTTTTATGAATGTTTGGAGTTCATCGGAGTTCATCAGTGTTAGAGAGTAGATTAGAGATCCTGTATCAGCGCCAACCCATTCCGTTTCCCGTACGAGTCTGGTGAAATTTTGCTAGGAGATATTCCATGGAAACTATTATGAGCGCAGGGAAAACAGAAAGAGCATTGCATGCTCCGCAGAAAAGGGTCCAACAGCTGCTAAAACGTTAATTTCTTTGTGCTATAGCTGCGAGCTCCGCAAACTACCCCATTCCTTTAACACACTAGTAGACAGGGTGAGATCGGAATGGATCCGCGCACTCCTCGGCTTAAAAAGTTTCCAAGAGCCGAATTAACCCTTGCATTTCACTTTTCTTCTCCGCTCGTAGCATCCAGCTGGTGCAACAGATGATCACGACATTTACGGTGGTCCATGGAAAACAAGGTTAGCGTTCCAATTTGTTAAGTGCAAGACAGGTTCCAGGACGCCGAGACGGATTTCGATTCCTGGCGCTGGAATTTCGCAAACACAACACGTTCAGCGTATGATAAGAGACGGTTCGCAGGTGAACCGTATTCGAGAATGTGGAGCATATGCTAAGGGAAAGGTGCTTGAAGATGTGTGGACTAATTACTGGAAAACGTGCTCCTAATGGAGCAGAACCTCCTGTTGTCAATGGCTACCTTCCTTAGGATGTCCTGCGTATTGCGCAGATTGGGAGATATGAGTAAGCCAATGTCTTTTTCAAGGACAGCCATTTTGTCTAGCAGTGGCAACAAAAGACACACGAGTTATCGAAAGCACCAATAAGAAGAGCGAAGCGCCTATTCGTGTGACGCGTAAGCACCTTTGTTTGACCGGCTACGCAGTGGGCCCAGCGTCGCTTGCACTTGGTCGGCCTTCTCTGGAGTCGTTACCTACAACCCTATCTCCAGGTCGTTGACATAATGCAGACGGTCAGCTTGAAGTTCCGGCGGTAGGTTAATAATGCTGTTAAGCAACTCGGGACCAAGGACAGAGCCCTGCGGACGCCACTTATCAGCGGAATAGTCGTGGAATATGTCTGCTTTTTATTCGCTCGCATACCACGGCCATCCAGAAAAGCAGAGGTTTAGGGATAAATCTTTTCATAGACGCCAACTCTCCTGAGTCCAAAAAGCGGCCGTTCGTTTAACCCTCCATCCTATGCCTATTTAAAGCCAAGGAAAACAACGTTCAACCCATTTGTGACATCTAATGATCTAGTCCAAATTTCGCTGGCAACCAACGGGTTGGTGACAAAAAGGCTTGTCCGATGGGACCATTTTGCGCGCCGGTGACGAAATGCACCTCGTAAAAGTGAATTCGCAAGGCACGCTTAAGAATTCTTAAAATGGCTTTACAAAAAGTTACTGTTATGCCAATCGGTCGGTAGTACCTGGGTCCTGCTGCTCTCCTCCTTTCTATATTTGCCTGACGGGTCCACTTTCCAAGCAGCTTGGAGGCGTCCCGCGCAGAGTTTTCTGAAAAACTTAACCAACTGGTACCGCAATGTGTTCAATCTTAAGTTTGAGGAACAAAAGTGTAGGGCCTCAAGACCTGACGCGTATTTCTGGTTTTTTTCGAGAGGATGATGGGCAACCCAATTTGGGCTGATTTCTAGGTGCTAAAGTGTGTAAAAAGGCGGCCGCGAAAAGTTGCTTATAAATAATGGTTCGGTCGAAACGACTGAAGGCTACTGCAAGGCTAGGACCGCAGTATTTTGCACCATCTTCGTGAAATATAGTAGCATCTATTTTGGAGTACAACGCAGGCATTCCATCACCAGCTATCGTAGGTCTCTTGAGATAGGAGAAAAGTAGCTAGAGTGCTGCTGAAGGTTCTTCAGCTCAGCGTTGCTCGTATGGTTGTCGCTTCTCACGCTACTATTAAGAGAAGATATTCTTGATTGCTTCGTTACCAAAGTAGTCCAAAGGTGGTTACATATATTTGAACTAATCAGCACAGTTTGCGTAGTTTTGGCGTCAGTGTTTGCGGCAGTGTTTCAGGACGTGGTCGGTTATCGTCTGGCAAGCGATCTTCTCATGAGAAGCCAAATACGTTCGTTTAACAACATTTCAACGTGGCGAATGTGACCCCCCCCACCGAATAAAGTCACAACCTGTAACTTCATACTGGCAGGACAACTTGCGTCACCATACTAGACAGATTCTTTACACTGGAACTTCTACAGCTACATAGAGTGTTGTCTTTTCTCTCTGCGATTTCACACATGTACTGTCGTCTCTCTACTTTTTACATTATCACCGTTGACCTTTGCGTTACTTATACTCGAGCGCACTGCAATGGTATATCCCTCTCGAGGGTGCTTTTCAATTATCTTCTGGCGGATCCTTCAAGATGCGCAATCTATTATTAGCCGAGGTATGACTGCAATATATAGCAGACCGATTATGTCTAACAAACGGGTCCCGATCTCACGACTGCCAAATTATTGTTTCGCATTTCCACCATTGTACAGTTCAAAGCGTGGACATATGAACCATTTTCTACTGTTGCGGTTACAGTTGCTATAAAATGTCTATGCAGTTGCACATACCTGATCATGCCTGCATGAGCGTGCCGCGCATAGTCGGGAATAAAATATTTATTTATTAATTTCAGTCGGCTTTTAAAGGCTTTTACCATAGGTCCAAACATTGGAAGGCCTTTGTTTTGCAATGTGGAAAGATCTGATTTATACGTGGTGTGCATTTGTAGAACAAGCGGGCCCGCGCATACTCTGCCTCCAAATTCAGCGGGACAAACAAGTCTATGGCTTCGACGGCGGTTTCCTTGCGGAGTGCTGCGGCACGGCATTCTCCCCGATCGTGAATGGTGAGATGCTGCTGCCAACAAAAAGAAGCTACGCAGTGGCCAAGTTTTCCGATTGTTTGAAAACAGCCAGATCGGAAACGTAGGACTTTGCCGGTGTGTGCACAACTTTCAGGATGTGTGGAGTCTGACCAGGACGCCTTCTGGTGTACATTCCAGCCAGTTGAAGTACGGGTGCAAGGAAGACAACCACGAAAGAGTTTAGGGACTGTGAACAAAAGAGTTGCTGCCAGTCGGGACCAGCAGCATTGATGTCACACCATATCACCCAACCCTTGCCTCTCATTTGCCTACTGACAGTCCAGCAGGCCAGCTCCGGTATCCAAAATTCGTATTTAAAAGAGTCCAACCATACCAGGCTAAAATCCGTCATGTGTCCGACACCAAAACGGCAAGGTCTACCTTCACCGTCACATATGGTTTCATTGAAACGACCCTGGTGTCTTCTTTGAAGTAAAGAACCGCGCCACCTCCAGACCTAGCACCAGAGCCATCCATCGCGATAGCAGTTACGCTGGGAATAGACATCACAAGTTCCAGTATGTCGGAAACCAGCCGAGTCACTGTGAAAGCCGGGAAGTCGGGTGCTTCTTATAGGTAATAAATGATAAATAAATGAACGCTTTGTTCTCGACAGGGAGAGGCACACCTTCCAAAGTATGAGCAGGTGGGTACAATAGGTAAAATAAATAAACAGTTTATCCTCGAATGAACGGGACACAATAATACAGGCATGCTCACGTGGTTGTCAGAGCCATAGAAACAAAGTAAGTGTATATATACCGAGCGGCAGAGGTAGGTGTTCGCAAACTACGTGCTTCGAATAAGGGTGCGTGATTGTCATGATGCTCATGTTCTTTGGAGTCAGATAGCAAGGTAGCGCGGAAGCACGGTAAAGGCTATAAGCCTTTTCGGTATGGAGGTACTGGACGGGGCTTGGAATAGTTCCGGAGGTTGATTTCCTGTATTACGTGTGCGTTGGAACCCAGTAAAACGTTCAATAAACGCTGTTGGACGAAAGCTTGAGGATTTTGTTCGTTTGTCATTGTGCTCATAAAGTTCGGTTGACGGGCTCATTGCCAGTGTTTAGCAATGGGCAGTGACGCTATTTAGGCGGAAAGCCAAATCCGCCACGCTGCAGCGTTGTTAAGCGAACGCTTGAGGTTTTTAATAGCGGGTGGGCTTCCTAGAGGAAATCCCACCACGTCCTGGAACACTTCCGTTGACCAGTAGTTGAATATCAGTGAAATGCTGACAACGTATTTTACCCCCGACGGCCCGCGGGGCTGATGGCAGTTGTGCTGCACCTATACTTCCGTTGGCTGAGCAAAATACTTAGGCAGCATTCAACAGAACCGGTTGTAACCGGCGGCAGCAGCTAAGCAAGAGCCTCTGGGTAATGACGGTCGGATGTTTCGTAGGCTGTATAACTGTCCGAGCAGATAACCCCCGGGCCAGTTGGGCTTCGCAGTCAGGTCCAAGTGGAATAACCATAACAGTTAGGTAGGCCGCTTGCATTGATATATCGCTTTTTGGAGGAAGTGTTTTCAACTTATAAAGAAAATGATTTCAATGGTTCGGGCCAGTGGCGAACACTGATCAAAGGGCTTGTTGTGGTCTCCGGAATGAACGTGAGCAGTCGAGATTCATATGAAAGGCGTGAGAGCTTCGGCTGCCCACATTGGCAAGGCGGGTAAGTTATCCATGGTATGATTGAGCCAACTAAAGATGCGGGCAGTAAAAGAGAACTGGTGGTGTTCCGGTGGGAGGAAATTGTACCCAAATGTTCAACACAGTAGGAGGCAGAAGATATGGATCAAAACGTACATTGTATTGTCCAGGATACACGTATAGCCAACCGCTATAGTGTAGACCCTAACAGATAAATATCCAATGCGCATATTTTATATGTCATACTGCACTGGCGAGGTGGGTAGCATATCCATAGGATAGAGAGGCCAAACGGATGAGGACTC